TGTCGGACGCGTTTTCGGTTCGACCATGACGGGCTTAAGAGGCTCGTCGTTTTGATGCAGATTCCAGAGGATTTTGCTGTGCTTGTCGAGTCTCATGCTACACAGTGAGGATGAAACCAGGCCGAGAGTGCGCCCAGTGCGCTCGTGGTGGAGCTCGGTGTAGAGTCTTCCTGCTGGAGATTCTGATGGTGCGGTGGCCAACCTCTTTCCGCATTAAAGTGCCATCTCAACCCATGTGACGCGCCGCAATGACGCGCACTTTGCAGGCTATTCGGCTGCATTTCACGTCAAAATGAATGAATCGATTTCGTACTTTTCGCTGCAACAATTTGGAGGTTTGCAGTGCAAAATGTCGCAGACACGCCAGGCGCCGCGGCGCTAAGTTCGCACGCTCTTTTTATTGTACTTTTTGGCTTCAAATTCAGGATTCAAAATCCCTCTTATTTGCTCTACTGAAGAAAAGTGCATCCACATTGAGCTGGACAGATCTGTAAGTATTTTATAATTGCTTGCTTGAATGAGTCCTTTTAACAAGCCACGACGCCATGCGGCACTAGAGCAGGTTAGTGAATTTGAGAGAAATTTCTTCAGATGATAAAGTGTCGTAGGAACTGTTTTCACACACACAAAATGAGGATGGCAGTTTCAATATATTAAATTCCCTACCGGTTCTTGAGTAAGCTCCCGCAGGAAAAGAGTAACTGGATAAGTCGATGCAATTTTTGCAAGTTGGCTGTACCGCTTTGCGGTGCAGGGAGCTCGCTTGTGTTACTATAATACTCATGTTGGAACAATTGTAAAGAAATATTGCTTTCATAAGTGCGTAGTCCTGTGTTATCTCTGTAGTCCTGGTGAACCGATTAAGGTGTTCGATCTGCTTGTCAATTTGTTCTATCTGTCTCGTACCCTGGTAGTCTATCTGTGCTCTACCACATCGCTAGATATCTCTCTACCAATAAGGTCAAGCCGTAGGATTCAAATTGTAGTGTGGCCCTACCTTAATGGCGTTGTGGCAGCCTACCTGTTTCGAAGTAGCTCTACTTAATTACATGGTGTTGATTGCCAACTAACGCTACCGTAATGGTGTTCTTTGGATATTATATCCAGAGTCCTACCCGAGATTGTAATGACGTTGCAGCCTTTTGATTATTAGTACCTAGTCTCAATACGATACAGATACATCCCCGTTCTAACAGACAAATGGTGGAGTAAGCGCCAGTTCTGCACTTTGACATGTCCATTTTGTGGTTACACTGCAGGTGAGTGATGTTCCTCGTCTTACATTTTCCTTCGGATTTAGATGTCCTGGAAAGTCGAGCTCGCCTTTCGGCTCATTCCCGTAAAAGACCCACACTTGATCGATACCGGTATCATTTTGGAACCGGGTTTAGTACCCATAGTTTAGCCTCAGTTGAGATAATTTATGGATGCAGTGAGATGGAAGCAAAAGGAAAATGGTGAAGCTCTTCTGTGCGGTGGTTGGAGCGGCAGGGAGCGCGTTCTCTGTGGGGGTGGATGAGAGCGACACGGTTGATGACTTGAAGAAGGCAATCAGAGCAGAGCCAGAGTTCGGCTACCCTAACAGCAAGATGAACCTGTTCCTCGCCAAACGGGGCGACGCGTGGCTGACTGAAAACGAGGTCAAAGGCGTGAGTGACACCAGTAGTCTGACACATCTGGATGTTGCGCGGGCGGAAATTAGTGTTGTCGGCCTCTCAGAGAAAGATGTGCGACACCAAGTCGATAAACACCAGGTTGCAGCAGGAAATGGCCCTGTGAATGTGATGGTGGTGGTGGTTCCGACCGAAGAGGTGGTTGTGCCGGCGTTATCGCAGCAGTCGTTCTTTTGGAAGCTTGTATTAAAGATAGTGAGCGCTCGTAGAACAA